AAAAGAGTTGAATATGAGGCAGAGAAGATGGTTAGAGTTAGTCAAAGACTATGATTGTGAAATCAAGTACCATCTGAGGAAAGCTAATGTAGTAACAGATGTCTTAAGCCGAAAAGTTCCTTTATTCCGGATCACAGTACAAAAAGAGTTGCAACGAGAAATTCTTAGGGAGAAAATTGAGGTTGTAATTGGAGGATGTGCTAGATTGGAAATCAAATCTGCTTTAATGGAGGAGATCAAAGAAAAACAAGTAGTTGATGATTCTTGTAAGGAAATCTACAGGCGAGTAAATAAGGGCAAAGAGACAAATTTTAGAGTAGTGAATGGTATTCTGAAATTTCGAGATAGGTTTTGTGTTCCTCAAGATGTAAAGTTGAAGAGTAAAATTCTTAAAGAAGCACATGATACACTTTATACAGCCCATCTTGGGAGTGATTTAAAGAAAAGCTACTAATGGTCAGGTATGAAGGAAGATATTAGTGATTATGTGGCTAAATGTTTGATTTGTCAGCAGGTTAAAGCTGAACACCAACGACCATCAGGATTACTATAGCCTCTTAGTATTCCTGAATGGAAATGGGAAGACATATCTATGGATTTTATTGTTGGCCTCCCAAGAGTACAAAAAAGGTATAATGCGCTATGGGCGATTGTGGATAGACTTACTAAGTCAGCGCACTTCATACTAGGGAAGGATATAACTATTTCAGATCAGTTGGGTCAAATTTATGTAAAAGAAATTATGAGGTTGCATGGTGTGCCCAAGACAATAGTGTCAGATAGAGATTCAAGATTTGTTTATGCCTTCTAGCATGGGTTCCAAACGGCGCTAAGTACAAAGCTAGCTTTTAGTATGATTATCATCCCCAAATAAATGGCCAAACTAAGAGAACCAATCAGGTGATTAAAGATATGTTACAGGCCAATTGTATGGATCATAAAGCAAATTAGAGTGATATAATTCCATTAATGGAATTTGCCTATAATAACTGTTATAAGGCTACTATCTAGATGGCACCATATGAAGCTCTACATGGGAGAAAGTGTAGATCACCTTTGTATTGGGATGAAGTAGGAGAGAATGAGTCTTTGGTTCAAGTCTTAGGACTAGAGATGACTCAAAAGATGATTGAAGATATCAGGTTAATCAGAGAGAGAAAGAAACAAGCCTAGGATCGCCGAAAGAGCTATGCAAACTTGAAGAGAAAGGAAGTGGAATTTCAAGTAGGGGACAAAGTGTTTGTTAAGGTTGCCCCATACAAACATGTTATGAGATTTGGTAGAAAAGGAAAGCTTGCTCCATGATACATTGGTCCTTTTGAAGTACTAGAAAGGATTGGAAAAGTAGGTTATAGACTTGCATTACCACCGAGCATGGAACAAGTGCATAATGTTTTTCATGCGTCATTGTTGCGCAAGTACATAAATGATCCTTCTCATGTATTACAAGCCGAGGAAGTAAAATTGAAGAAGAATTTGATTTATGAGGAGCATCCAGTACAAATATTAGATAGAAAGTTAAAGAGCTTTGGAATAAAATTATTCTACTCGTCAAAGTTCTTTGGAGAAATCACAAGGTTGTGGAAGCTACTTGGGAAGTGGAGCAAGACATGAAGACTGCTACCCAGATTTATTTGCTTAATTTCAAGGACGAAATTCCTATAAGGAGGGGAGAAATGTAAACCCCACCAATACGTGCAAGGGTAAAATAGTCTTTTCATTTTTATGTGCTAAGTTAACTACCATGCACATGCCTGGGGGGTAAAGTGGTAAAAGAATAATGATATTTTGTTAGCTTGACAAGATAAAGATGATGAAGGATTAAGGAGTAATTAAAAGTAAATTATTAAGGGCAAAAAGGGAAATAATATTATAAGTCATTAAATGCAAAAGACAAATGAGTGAAATTTTTGCCAAAAAAAAAAAAAAAAAATCTTGATTTTAGTGGGTATGAGTCAGCCAACACATATATTCTTCCACTTTCCATTATCTTCTTCAGTATTTCTACAATATTCCATAATCCTCTTCAATACTTCTCCATTAATTATATTTCCTCCATTAAAATTTCAAGTCTCTTAGTTGCAATCTTTCAAGTGTCTTATATTTCTTCTTGTACTAAGGATATTAAGAGGTAAATTTCAACTCCTTATCTTATATAAATATTATGTATTTCAAGTTATTAAAGTTTTCTTATAATTTATGTTAAGATAAAGAGTCGATTGGAGATAAGGAGGAAATTTGCAAAGAAGTGTGGTTTCTTCACACAAGGTAAGCGAAACCTCCCTTTAATATGAAATAAGAATTAGGTTTCTAGGTTTAATATTAGGGAACCTTAATTCTTGTCACACAAAAGAAATTGAGCTTGGTTTGATGCTATAATTTGCAATTGATGGATTTATATGTGAATTGTAGAAAATTGAAGTTTGATGACAATCAATGGAATTAATTGTGTCATGAGTTTTTAACATATTACAAGGGAGTTTATTATTGATCATTTAACATGTTTTCACAGGGGAGAATGGTTAGGAAATGTTAGGGAGTAAGTGGAGGTAAATAGGTATGGAAAAGCCTTAAAATAGGCATGTTAATTACCATGGTTGCCACTATCAAATCAGTGGCCTTCTGAGTGATTTTTGGGCATCTTACCTATCGAACTGGGTTGAGACCTAAACATAAAAGTTGTAGCTCTTTCTCTTATATTTAAAAGGAGACAAGATCATATCAATCCGATGTGTATAACTCGAGATATACCTTCTTGAATATGACCTGTGCAGAATGACTACCTCAAAAGTGCTTCCAATTTCTTAATTTATTTTTAGCCTAATAATCTATGATTGATTCCAAGTATGGAAATGATGCTTAAAGGGTTTTGAATCATGTTTGAATGAGTGATCTTTGTGATTATTTAATGATTGTCTGAACATATATATTTGATGTAATGAATGATCATGGAGGTTATGTGTAATATGTTATGTATTACCTAAGTATGAGCTTGTGTATGTATAAACAAGCCTAAGTATGATATGTTTCTATCAATTTGTTATGCATCCACAAAATGGTCATGATGAAATAATATGTTCATATACGGAAAGTGTATGTTTTTAAAGAATGAAGCATGTCAAGCATATTAATGATGAAAAAAGGGGGACTTGATCCCAAGTTTGAGCAAAATGTTTCCAAGGTACATAGATATGCATTTTTGTGAAGAAAATGATTTGTAAATTTTACGGAAGCTGTTGGCATGTTATGGGGAACCTGAGCTCACTCATGCATGTGTCTAGACCAAAAGAAATGAACAGTCCATAGCGTGCATGACCATGGGGACTGTTTTATAAGTTAAGGTTAGCTCATTGACCAAAGGTTTCGTAATCCATGCCCCAGCTTAGTCCGATCGGCAGACAATAAATTTTTTTTCAAAGAAAAATGTATTTATACGTGCATGGCATTGATGTGCATTATTCATGAACATTAAAGGAAAGCATTACATGAATTATATTATGCATTATGATATGGATTGACTATGCCATGTTATATAACTTTTATGTTATTAATGTTTGGTTCATGTACAAGTAAATAAGATGCTTCCTAAGTTTAAGAATGTTACATAGGGTTAAATGATCGATACCCTTACTGAGTGATTAGCACTCATTTCCCTAGTTTCCATGTTTTACAGGTAATAGTTAAAGCGGCAACGGCGAGCAACAATCAAGGAGGCTTGGGGCATGCATGTTAACGTTTGTTATAATTAAACTTATGATGTTATACAAAGGATGTTGCTTTTGAATTTAATGTATATAGTTTAATGTCTATAATCTAAGTTTTATGAAATCATAAATATGTTTTGCTTGTAAATGATGGGAGATATTTTATATTTGCTTCCGCTATTAAACAATTGATGTTGTTGTTTTCTTTAAACCATGTTTTTCATATATAGTCATATTTTGACAGGTTGATTAAGAAAGTAATGTAGAGAAGTTTTATTTATTTATTTTCATATAATACATGTTTGTAACCAGGATTTACGTTTTAAACTACACAACCTTCCAGTCGTGAATTCTCTAACTTTCCAGCCTAATGAAATACTTAGAGGGTACTCGGCTGGAGGGGGTGTTACAGTTGGTATCATAGCTTAATGATACTTATGTTACTTGGCCAAGGTCTAAGTCCAAGGTTCAAGTCATAGGAGAGGTGTTTGCAAGGTGGAAAAAAGACCACGAAACGAAGCAAAGTCGTGAGGGTTCGAAAGAGGCGTGGCCAGAATGACCCATAGCGGATAATACCTTGGACGTGTCCGACGCACGGGGAAAGCCCTTGAGCCCAAAGGTGGCGAGATAGAGGATAGCCCCCTGTCATGACATAATGGGGGTGTTTGTTTTAATTTTTAAAATTTAAAGAATTTCACTTTATTACCTATTACCCATATATGTTTGAATCCTTTCATTCTAACCCTTTTTGAATCTTTAGTAATTCTTAAGTGTGCCACGCCACTTTTTCAAAAAAAAAGAAAAAAAAAAAAAGGGAAAAATATTCAAAACAGTTTCAAATTTATTTTCTCAATTGCAAACTTGAGAAGTCATTATAATTAAAGGGGTGTTTGTCACCCCTTTAATTATAATGACTTCTCAAGTTTGCAATTATTTTTTGTTTATAAGCATTTGAAAATTTTAAGCAATTACGTTTTTGGTTAAAATACTTATAAGTGACTGATAAGTAGTTGACGTGTTTAGTAAAATGTGGCTTATAAGTACATTTTATTATAAAATGACTAAAAAGGGTACCACATTAAACAATGGTATACTATGAAATTTTAAAATTAAACAAGGATAATGTGATAATATATTTGGTCAAACTAGCTTATAAGCAGAAAAAAAAATTTCTTATAAACTCAAAAAAGTTATAAACAAATATATCAGTTTAATTTTAAAGCTTATAAACAAGAAACTTACAGAAACACCCAATCAATTTCCTCAACAATGGAGTGGTGACAACTGTGAAAGTGTGAGCAGAAAGGAAATAATCCTAAAATAATATTGAAGATGCCAAAACCATATCAGCACAATCCTTCCTCAACCGATCCAAAAGTCATGACTGCTGAAATGCTCAATTTCAATTTCTCAACAAAAACATAAATCTCTGCCTCTCATCATAATCAAAAACAAATAAAATGATTAATTCTCTTCTTCTCTCCGCTCCCTTATCTTCCTTTCACCGACCTCCCAATCCCAAGAACCTAACACTAACACTTCCTGCCAAACCCACCTCACTACTCTTCTTCCCAATCTCCACAAAACCCTTCAGTTCTTCAAACTTCCCCCAATTTCTCATTCGCGCTTCCACAAGAGACACCAACACTTATGCCTCTAAAGAAGAAGATGGTGAGGGTGAGGTTCTGGTGGGCGAGGACTCTGCCGCCTTCGATTTGGGGAAGCAGAAGATATCTTCTTGGATTTATTTCAGCGCAATTTTAGGAGTTGTTCTGTTTGTTCTTCAGGTTGCTTGGATTGATAACTCTACTGGTTTCGGGAAAGCCTTTGTTGATTATGTTTCTACACTTTCAGAGAGTCATGAGGTATTTCTTTTAATCAAATTCACTGTTGTTTAGGTGTTTCAATATCAAAATATTCAGATTGGGGATCTATTTTTCTATTGTTTTATTTGGTAGCAATTACTCAATTATAGAAGAAAAAGCACGAATATGTCAGATTGGACTGTTTTATTTGATTTTTATTTTTTTTAAGCATTTGTTTGAGAGGCTCTACGTTACTGAATTGGTGTTTGATTAAAGGCAGACTTATGCTTCTACTGCAGGTTGTGATGTTGATGCTCATTATCATTTTTGCCACTGTCCACAGTGGCTTGGCTAGTCTCCGAGACGAGGGTGAGAAACTTATCGGTGAGCGTGCATTTCGGGTTATATTCGCGGGGTTATCACTTCCGTTAGCTGTTAGCACTGTGGTGAGTTGTAATTCTTGATTATTTATTGCAGCAGTTACATTTCTAAGTTTGGCTTATTGAGTTTTTCTGTGGTCGTGTTATTAGGTTTACTTCATCAACCACAGATACGATGGATTGCAGTTATGGCAGGTGCAAGGTACCCCTGGCGTCCATCAACTTGTGTGGGTTTCGAATTTTATATCCTTCTTTTTCCTCTATCCTTCGACCTTTAATCTTTTGGAGGTTGCCTCTGTTGACAAACCTAAGATGCATCTTTGGGAAACTGGGATCGTTAGAATCACCAGGCACCCACAGGTATGATATCCACTGTTTCGATTTAAATGTCTGTTATTCAGGGTTGATTGAAGGAAACTTGTTATGTGTATTGTTTGTCAAGGATAATAGAGATATGGCCTATCAATTATTACTTAAACGTCAAGCAATCTAGGCTATTGAAGAATAACCTGAGTTGGATTTCTTCAGCATTGTTAGGATTGGTCTTTTTATTAGAGAGAGAAAATTATGGTGCTGGATAGTGCATCAGATGAGAAATGTTTTATCATGTTTTGTAGTGGTTGAAGGCAGGCTAGTAGAATTACAGAAAAATGATATAAATAAAACCTTTATACTCTCACAGCCATTTGTGCTCTGCAAATACCACAGTATTATATATATGCTAGTTTAGAAAATTGGCCCTTTTCCATTACCTTCTAAATAATGTTGTTTCTGTTTCTTCTCCAGAAAACCATCTTATGGTCTCTCTCCCACAAGTTTGGTTTTTTATTTCTCGCTGAACATTACATTCTAAGCAGTGTATCTTTTCTTTTCAGATGGTTGGGCAGGTGATTTGGTGCCTGGCTCACACTGTTTGGATTGGGAGTTCGGTAGCTGTGGCCACTTCTGTTGGTTTAATTGGACACCATTTATTTGGTGTTTGGAATGGGGATAGGAGGTTAGCTAAAAGATATGGAGAGGCTTTTGAAGTTGTGAAGAGCCGAACCAGTGTCATTCCATTTGCAGCTATCCTCACTGGGCGTCAACTATTGCCAAAAGATTATTACAAGGAATTTATCCGACTTCCATATTTGACCATCACTGCCTTGACACTAGGTGCCTACTTTGTACATCCACTTATGCAGGCGGCCAGTTTCCACCTTCATTGGTAGGTTTCTTGTTCATTCTATTTGTGGCAAATTAAGAATAGATTTTGAAACTGTATGTAATTGGCTTATGAGGGATACATATATGGAAAATGATAAGAGTTACCGAAAGTTACACACCGAATTTGTGCACCAAATGATGTGGCAAAATTCTGACCGTTGATTAATATTAACTTATAATGAATCAACGGTCAAGATTTCGTTATGTCATTCTGTGCACAAATTCGGTGCACACCTTTTGGTAATTGTAACATTACTCTACGTATATATGGACTCAATGAAGCACTTGATCCAAAATGTAATACACGAGTGGAAGACAAATTGTTAACTAGAGACTTTTTGGTGGTGTTGGTTAATAGAATGATTTAAGACGAACGCAATCAAAGAGACATAATATATTACCATCAAACAAAAACATCATTTTGATTATATCTAATTTAGTAGAGTTTGGCGAGAGATATAACCTCTCGGTGGAATTATTCACTTTTATTAGACGTTTAAAACAAATGACTTTTAAAAACTTGAGAGAAGCCTTCATTAATATGTTATCACGCATTTTTGTCTATGTAACAATTTATAAATTACTTCTCTTGAAATAAAAATATAACTTACGCTGGATATTGGTAAACTAAATTTACAGTTAAAATCTGCCTTTCAATATAAGTTCTCGTTGAATTTATGTGAGAGTGTATGATGTTTGGATGGAGAGAATGTGAGGGTAAATGAGAGAGTTGAAGAAATACAATGAGTGAAAATGTCATATTTCTATTAATTGAGTATAAATTCTCCAAGCCAACTATAATTGATATGTAATCCATCTATAGATAGGAACATGGCACCGAAGGGAAAATATTTAGAATTAATTACAAGGCTTTACAGCCGCACGTCAGGCTGTAGGCTACTCGTCACAATGCGTGGCCATTGCAGGGCAGGCTGCGAGCAGCCATCAGGGGGCAACGTGCAACCATGGACAGTGGTTGCGTGTGGCAATGCGCAGCTCAATTCAGCCACAAATTTTTAGGGTTTTCAAAACCTTAATTGAACCAATTACTCACCCATCAACAAATTAAAAACAGTTTTAATCAATTACAAATTAAAAACAGTTTTAAATTGCAAACCCTAAAACATGCAATCTATCAAATCAAATATCATGTTATAAACAATGGATTGTATATATCGAATCCAAACTCTGATACCATTGTTGGGTTTTGCATTGAATAATGCAGGATATATTTAAAAATTTATTCAATAAAAACCCTAATCCCAAAATCAGGATTGATATAATACAACCATTAAAAAACCCTAGTTAATCCATTCAAGGTTAAAATTAATTACTTCGATCGAATTAGGATTCGAACTTTGCAAGATGATTCAAGTTTAGAATCGACCAAATCAATATCCACCAAAAGCAGGACGGGATCACAACGAATCAATTGCTAGATTAATTCGTTTGCCCTAAGTAGAACACGAAATTGAGAGAGAAAATTCTCCCTCAAAGGGGGGTGGCGGCTAGGGTTTTGGGTGGAGTGAATAATGAATAGAAATTGTTAGGACAGGTGCACTAGAGCCAATAATTAGACTCTTATAATATATATTGAATATCAATAAATGCATAAATTATATATCATAGCATTCATTTAATATATATATATATATATATATATATATATATATATATATATATATATATATATATATATATATATATAGTATATATATATATATATATATTATATATATAATATATATATATGTATAATGCCCTATATATATTATTATATATATATAATATATATATAGATATAAAGCCCTTAGAAAGGTTTAATCATGACGAGGACATTAAGTGTTATAAATCTTAATTGTGAGAACCCTATGATCACATATGGTGACCATTCTAGAACTGTTTGTAGCCCTAGTATTAATTTGATCAATGATATAGATTATACGGCAATGCTATCATAGCATTGAATGACCCTACCGAAAGTTGTTAGGATCAGTGCACTAGAGCCAATAATATTAGGACATTTGTAATAATATTATTGAATATCAACAAAGACATAACTTCTATATCATAACAATCATTTATATATGTCTTTAGAAGGGTTGAATCGTGATGAGGGAATTAAGTGTATTAAATCTTAACTATAAGAACCTTATAATCACATATGGTGACCATTCTAGAACTGTTCGTAGCCCCAGTATTAATCTGACTAGGGACATAGATTATATGGTAAGACTATCATAGTGTTGAATGACCCTACTGAAAGGTAGTGACAGTTTTCACATGTCAAGGTTGTTAGGTGATAACTTGTTGCGACGCATGGGTGTTTGTTAATGACAAGTTCACTGGACCGACCCACCAGAGCATTCCACATAAAATGATAACGCTAGTGTCTGTGGAATATATCTTCCAACGGATGGTGGTGCATGTGATCCCTCGACTTGAGATCACCACAACATCCTTTGTAATTATTGTTGTAATTTCACATTGGCCTAATGTAATCATATTTAGGGTTATCAGTATGGTAGTTGTTAGTTATACTGAGAAGTATACTATGACTATGGTGGATCAACAAATGACTCATCACTCTTGGTTACAAGAGAAATTATCTCGCTAAGATATTCAATAAGAAACTATGACTGCAAAATCTGTGGCCACAATGAAATCGAGTCGATACTCAAATCCAATTTATATGGTTGTTGGTTCGACAACCAAATATAAACATATCAAGGTACATTCATTGAAGTTGACACTACTTCTGTACTTCAAACCTTGATGAGATAAATGATGATGAAAAGATTGGAATTGCACGGTAACCATACTGTTGAAAGGTAGCTACTTCTCTAAATCTTTATTTGTTAGGTAATCATGATGTCTTGCTAGAGGTCAATCTTGATTGGTGTATGGAACACTAAGGTGTGTTTGTTTTATTATTTTAAGTAGCATTCTTAAAATATTATTGGTAGGTAGAGTTGGGTGATTATTACGAGGTAGAATTTAAAAATTAAAAAAAAAAACTCCTAGGTTTGCTAATTTAACTTAACACTCCAATATATAATTTTTTTGTAAAATGACAAAAACACCCCCACCACACAAAGTTGCCAGATTCTGGCTACCACCACCAGAATATGGCGTTACAACGCACAACCGGCTAGATCTGGCCAATCGTGCGCCAAGATGGCCTTTTCCAACCAAATCCACCATGGACCTGGCTATGTTTGGTCATCAACGATGGCCAAAGATATGGCCATCGTTGATGGTCAATGATGATCATGTCTTGGCTGTCGTTGAAGACCAGTTACGGCCAAAGATCTGGCTGTCAACGGCTAGATCCAGCCGGTACTGCGCAATTATACTAGATACCTCTACCTTCCGACGGTGGTGGCCGGAATCTGACAAATGCGGGTGGGAGGGGGTGTTTTTGTCAATTTCTAAACTTTTTTTTTTGGGGATATTTAGTTAAATTAATAAACTTAGGGGGTTTAAAAACAGTTGAATAAAATATAATAGTATTTTCAGAATAGGAAAACAAACGTGTATTTTGGATATAGTATTAATAGGATAGGGAAAAATAATTAAACAAACAGACCCTAATTAGTTGATGCTTAATTATAAATCCGGTCATCACCAACATAATAAAGAGCCTAGGGGTCACACACATTAAAAGCAGTTTTATTGAGAATGAAAATGAAGGGTAATTTCGTCTTTTGGACAAAAGAGTTTTTTGGTAATCTTGCTATGCAATTAAATTCGCTAAAGGTAGTTGCAAACATTCTATATTTATATTGAAGTTAATTTAGCAAAGTTGTAATTATATTAATATTAATATAAAACATTAATATTAATATGGATTAAATAAATGAAATAAATATATTTTATATAATTAAATATATTTTATATCCCATTAATTAAATAAGTGGATAAATAAATATTCACATTTATTTATTAGGAATATATATTTAAATTGGAAAATATCCTATTGCAAAATAGGAATATATATTTGATTGGGAAATATCCTATTCCAAAATAGGAATAGAAATATTCCTATTCTTAATGGGGAATATTTTATTCCCCACTATAAAAGAAAAGAAACCGGAGAATTAATCATAATTTCATTATTTTCTCCCAAACCAAACCCTAGCCGCCTATTAGTTTTTGAGAGAGAAATTCTTTCTCTCAATTGTGTGTTCTCTCTTCTTGCACCCAAGGATTCTAGCAAACTTCCTTGCATGTGGATTAGCCTCCCTCCCTTTGTGTGGACTTCTCAGAAGCGATTCCATCTTGAATCGTCTAGCGAAAAGTAAATCAAAGAACCTGAAGGAGCTTCTAAATGCAGGTAATAACAACAAACCTTGTTGTTTTATTTTATAAATGGATTGCATATATCAATCCTGATCGTGGGATTAACAGGTTAAATTGAATAAATTTTTGTTTTATATTTCACATATTATTCAATAAAAACCCTACAAAGGTAGTGACAATTCTCACATGTCAAGGTTGTTAGGTGACAACCTGGTACGACGCATGAGTTCTTATTAATGATAAGTTCACTGGACTGACCCATCAGAAGATTCCATATAGATGGTAACCCCAATGTCTATGGAATATATCCTCTAACGGATGGTGGTGCACGTGATCCTTGGACTTGAGATCACTAGAGCGTCATGTGTAATTATTTGTGTAATTTGACACTAGCTAACATAGTCCTATTTAGGGTCATTAGTACGATAGTCATTGGTTACATCGAGCAATATACTATTGCTATGGTGGATTAACAGAGGATTCATCACTCCTAGGTGCAGGATAAATTATCTTGCTGAGTTATTTAGTTAGGAACTACGACCGCAAAATCTGTGGCCACTGTCAAATTGAGTCGGTGTAATGTCTCACTAGGCCAGTATTCACTGAGTATCCTATAGAGAGAATCCAGAGAATTTGCTAGTTTAAAAAGGGTGTTCGTCTAAAATTTTCATCTTTAATCTAGTTATAACATACTATTACACAAAGATTATTTCTCACATATGTAAATCCACATTAAATTCTTCACTGAGACAGTGTGTGTAATCCTCTGGCCAGCTTGACGTCTCTTGACCACTACAATTTAATACTTGCAAAAATAAGGAAAGCAACGGGGTGAGCTATAAATGCTCAATAAGTAAACCAAATCTAATTATGCTCTTACTCTGTTGTCCCCGTTTTCGTGGTATTGCTTCTAAATTTTTGCTTGCTTTCTCTGTTTATTCTCAGGCATACTACTTAGCAATCTTCCATTTTTCTCAGATCTTTCTAAATCCTTCTAGG